GTGTGTGTGTGTGTGTGTGTGTGTGTGTGTGTGTGTTTTGAAGGGGGGTGAGTATACAAGAACTTTCCTGCATAATTTTTCTGTAAATTTCAAACTCTAAAAAACAGTCTATTTAACAAAAAAGACAGACAAGCAGAAATCATACAAGAATAAAGATATAAACAGGGCGCCTGGGTGGCTCAGTTGGTTAAGCATCTGACTTCAGCTCAGGTCATGACCCCATGATTCATGGGTTTGAGTCCCGCATTGAGCTCTGTGCTGGCAGCTCAGAGCCTGGAGCCTGCTTCGGATTCTGCGTCTCCCTCTCTCTCTCTGCCCCACCTCCACTTGCGCTCTGTCTCTTTGTGTCTCTCAAAAATGAATAAACATTAAAAAAAATTTTTTTAAGTATAATAAATTTTCTTACTCATTAGATTATGTAATATACGGTTAAGAACACCATCCTGTATAATAGAGTATTTATAGAAGCGCTGTTTTTTAAATGGCTGCACACTGTAATGACTACAGAGACATACTCCGTATGTGTTGTCTCTAGTGTGATTCTGTTTTTGTATAAATTGAGTTTACATATGGATACATACATTAAAAATAATGTAAGTTATATTCTAAAATTATTTAACAACAGTCATCTCTGGGGGGTGCAATGACTTATAAATTTTTTAATGTTTATTTATTTTTGAGAGAGAAAAAGACAGAGTGCAAGTGGGGGAGGGACAGAGAGATAGAGAGAGAGAGAGAGAGAGAGAGAGACACAGAATCCAGAGGCTCCAGGCTCTGAGCTGTCAGCACAGAGCGTGACGCAGGGCTCGAACTCATGGATCATGAGATCATGACCGGAGCCAAAGTCGGATGCTTAACTGACTGAGCCACCCAGGTGCCCCAACTTACAGAATTTTTTAATGTTTATTTACTTATTTTTGAGAGAGAGAGAGAGAGAGAACGAACACGAATGGGGGAGGGGCACAGAGAGAGGGACAGAGAGTGGAGCCTGAGACAGGGTGAAACTCACGAACTGTGAGATCATAACCTCAGCCAAAATCAAGAGTTGGACGCCCAACTGACTGAGCCACCCAGAATCCCTGACTTAGATTATTTTCATTTGTTGGCCAAGCTAATTGTTTTCAAAGACATCTGACTGTACATGTCCAATTTATTTATTTATATGTAAAGAATACAGATTATAAATAAATCCCCTTCTGTGCAGAAGATGGAGTAGGAATAGCATATGACACACATTAGATGTTAAATACCAGCTGCATGAATTGAATGGGTAAGTCACATTTATATCCTATTCCGCAAGCTGAATTTTTCATTCAAACTTTTCTCATGGAGAATTTTCCCCAAGGAATTAAAAACAAAAAGTACCAATTCTGCACTCACCATTTTGTTACAATGGCAGTCCATTGTGTGGACACCCAAATGCATTTAATCCAGTGGTTCCCAACTGAGGTACCTCTAGAGAGTATTTGAGAATGTAGGTGGAGGGGCAAGGTCATTTTTTGGGTTGAAGGTGATACTATCATTTAGTAAATGCTTTGGTTCTTACAGTGTATAAAAAAAACTGACCTATGGAAAGGGCCTAAAGTCCTTCTGTTGAGAAATCCGATTACTATGTGGATTTCAGGATGATTCCAGACTTTTATTATTATTATTATTGTTAACATTCATTATGTCCTTGCTTACAGATCTTGCCTAATTGTTTCTTAGAAGAATTTCTAGAAGTGAAATTACGGATCAGAATATCCACATTTTAAAGAATTTTCATACACTGATGCAATGTTCTCTGGAAATACATATTTTCTCTAAAACGACAGTCTTTTCATTTCATTCCTTGGTATTTAGGTTGACTATCTTTTTGTATATTTATTGGTGTTTGGCATTTTTTAATTTGAAAATTGTGTGTCTCACACATTATTGGAGTGTTTCTTTTTTTTAATTTCAGCTTTATTGAGGTATCCCTGATAAAACTACAAGATATATTTACAGTACACACTGCAGTGACAGGATTTCCCCTCACTAATGTTCATCTTTTTCTTTCTGTTTTTATGTTCTCCTTTTTCTTACTGACTTAAAGAGCTCTTTAAACTTTAGAAATACTAATTCTGTCATAAATATCGTAAAATGTTTTTCTTGTTTGTTGTTTTTCAATATTGTTTATTGTCTTTTCTTTATTCCAACAAAAAAATTTTTCTTCTGTCTTCAAATCTACCTTTTTCCTTTGAAGCATTTGAGATCTGTAATGCGTGGGAGTGGTTTTCCCCACTCCAAGATTACAAAGATGACAGGCCTGTTTTCTTCTATTGTTTTTATGGTTTCCTTTTTTACATTAAAATTTTTGATCTGAAATGAATCTTTAAAAAAAAACCCTCCCTACTTAAAACTTAAAATTTACTCATTTATTTTGAGAGAGAGAGCACGCACAAGTGAGAGAGAATCAGAGAGAAAGAAAGAGGCAGAATCCCAAGCAGGCTCCACACTGACAGAATGGAGCCCAATGCAGCTCGAACTCACAAACCGTGAGATCATGATCTGAGCTGAAACCAAGAGTCGGATGCTTAACCAACTGAGTCACCCAGGGGCCCTGAAATGTATCTCACACACACAAAAAATTTTTTAAATGTTTATTTATTTTTGAGAGAGAGAGAGACAGAGAGACAGAGAGTGAGAAGGGGAGGGGCAGAGAGGAAGGGAGACACAGAATCTGAAGCAGGCTCCAGGCTCTGAGCTCTTGGCACAGAGCCGGATGTGGGGCTCAAACCCATGCACTGCAAGATCATGACCTGAGCCGAAGTTGGACGCTTCACCGACTGAGCCACCCAGGTGCCCCTGCTATGAAATGTACCTTAATTTAAGGTGAGAGGGAGTATTTGCTACTAAGAATTGGCTTTTGTTTATTGCCCTTTGACAACGGTTGTAGTCTCGACATTTATCTAGTGAGTGACTACCTCACTGAATCCTCTCATAAAATTTAGGGTGGGGCTGTTGATATAATATTATACGTTATGACATTATATATACAATATAATATAATATTGTATCATATACAATAAACATTTTACCTTCTTTTTTTTCTTGACTTAATACACTATCTAGAAATTTCCGGAGGTAATAAATAATAATGGTGGTTTTCGGCCCTGTCACCTGGTTTTTGACTTTAGTGGGAAGGTCTCTTAATGTCTCAGAGTTGTGGAACCATTGGTTGCTGGGCTGATCAATTTAAAAAAAAAATGCTTCTCATCTTTTTAAAATATACAAGGCACATTTAGGTATGCTTTAGATAGCCTACTTCTAAGAAGCTGTTCAAATATGCATGAATAGATGTCTTCTTTCATTTTTAAATAACCCCAAGCAAGCAGAGGGTTAGCAATGCCTACAGGATCAGTTACAAGACAAGAAAATACGGGGTCTTATTTAATGGGTGCTCTTCTTCTTCTCCTTTTTTTTTTTAAGTTTATTTATTTATTTATTTTGAGAGAGAGAGAGAGAGAGAGAGAGAGAGAATCCCAAACAGGTTCCACACTATCAGCGCAGAGCCCAATGTGGGGCTTGAACCCATGAACCATGGGATCACGACCCGAGCCAAAACCCATTGTTGGATGCTTAACTGACTAAGCCACCCAGATGCCGCTTATTTAATGGGCACTCTTTATTTTTCATTCTTCCGACATTGTTTTGTAGTTCTTGGTCTACCTTTCTCATGAAACTTGGCTTCTGATAACTTTTGGCGAGACTATGTCATAGAGAATAAACGCTATCCCCAAGAAGGTGCTCAAAATGTTTTTCTTTAAATCAATAGACTGACCTCTCTTAGAGTGGTTACTTGAGCGATTACTAGATGCCTTCAGATATAAAAGCTCTGTCGTGTTTGAAAAGACATGTGTCCCACTGCTTTTAGTTTATGCACAAAAATGTTAAGTTCTAGAAACTAGCTGAAATGTAAAGCGTAACCAAAGAGGCAAGGGAAAAAAAAAAAAAAAGAATATAATGACATGCTAAGCACTGGCCATGGAAGGAAAGGAAATCCCTTCTTACCTGCACTTGAATTTGTAGGTCTTTGTCCAGGAGCGCTCTCTTTTTTAGTATTTCCGCTTTGAGTTGTTCTTTGTGTTTGAAGAGCAGCGCGGAGAGCTTGGTGGCATTCTGCTTGCTACGTTTCTGTTCCACACTCTCTTCGCGCTTCCGTTTTTTTGCTGCCTGTTTTTCTTCTTTATCTATCTTATCCAAAATATACTTCATCACCTGGTTACAGACAATCATTCTGGAGAGAAATACACAATCCATGTAATGCTGGGCATGTCATTCTGAAAAGCTCAAGACATCATTTTTCTATGTCGCTACAGCTGATACACAAACTTTCTGTGACCAGAGAGCTTCAAAGAGTGATTCAGACCAGTTACGAGCACCCAGTATTGCCAAGTATCCACATTTAATGAACTTCAGCCAAGATAAAAAGCCAAAACAAACCAACAAAAAAACTTAAACTCAGACGTCCTGTCCGTGTACATGCTAAAGAGGAAAGGCCGACGTACAATGAGACCCTGTGTTGCTGGGTTATAAACATGTCTTCCTACCTTTGATTCTCTTCTCTTTCAGCTGGAGTCATGGTCTTTTTCTGCTTTAAATGTTCTATTACAGCATTATGCTTCATCACCACCTTCAGGACAGAACAAAATCCCAAAGTGCATATTTTATAATGACTACATGTTGGTATACAGATTAACAGCAGAAATCTGAGCACATGTATGTTTTCCAAAGAAAACTGTAAGAGTTTTATGTCAGAACATAAACAGAATTAGAGCTGCAATACGGCCTGAGTGCTTACCGTGTACTGGGCACTGTGCTACGTAAGCACCTGACATTACCTCAATTATTCCTCATAACAACACCGAAAGGGATAATCTTATAAATGAGATTCTGAGGCATGAAAAAATTAACTCACTTGTTTGACACGAAAAAAGGAATAGAAGCTGTAATTTTAACCCGGCTATCACTCTGCAACAGCCATTTTTGTTAACATTATGCTCTCTTCCTAGGTATTAATTTCTCCTCCCCGTCCCACTTTGCACAGAGATTAGGATAAAGACAGATACTGTAGTAATTCTAAGTTTACAGACTACACGGTACTAAAAGCTGGGTAATAATGCATTTGAACACACATAGGACATCGATTTATAAGAATATTACCACACGCCTTTAAAATCCCTTTGTTGTTTAAGAAGTACTTCTAACGACGTTGCATTAGAATCATCAAACGTGCTAGGAGACAAGATCTCAATTAATCCAACCACTGCAAAGGAATGTCGCTCATACGGCGTGACAGAGGTGCTGACTGCTGCTACAATGGCAATCATGTTCCAAATATCCGTGTACCAAATCAACGTGTTGTACACCTTAAATTTATACACTGCTGTGTGTCAAACATATCCCAATAAAAAATAAAATGCAAAGTGTTTCTATACACATGACCTCATTTAATCGTTACAATAATCTCACGTGGCTGTCAAGAGAGGGAGTATTAACGAGGATACGGAGCTCAGGGCAGAGAGGACAGTGTCGTGGACTGTGAATGGGAGACCCAGGAACTGAACGCAGGTCTCATGACTTGGGAACACTGGAAATCCACACTCAACCTCCTGACTAATGCTGAGCAGTGCACGCTGTTGACGCAAAGAAAGTTTCCCTCAGCAATGCTTCAGGATCTTGTACATGTGACTTCATTTTAAGTAGAGTAATTCCAACTCCTCTAAATTGCCTTACTTCACTAAGACGCTATTGTAGGATGCCACTTTTTATTTGAGCTATGGGATAGAAGAATCTCCACCTCTAACAAAGGTGTGGTTAGAAACGCAAATGAGTTTCAATCGTCTGTAATGTGTCCCTCACGCAAACTAAGGAGTGACAACTGCAAATAACTTCAGAGCGCTTCTGATGCCTGAGCGGCTGTAAGCTTAGTTGACCTTCAAGTCCTGTATCAGTGGTGCGGAAACTCCTAACTCCATCCTTCCCATCTTAGTTCTCCCCCAGTACAGGCAGTTTTTCTAATAAGCACTGATTGTCACATCCAAGAAGAGTTCCAAGCCATGGCAGTCATTCAGTATTTTTTCGTCAATCCAGTGCTGCTTTCTAAATAGAACCGTCAATGACTTTTGTCTCCTGTAGGAAACCTGATACAACCAACACTAGGTCTACTGCACAGCACAATCATTCAAGCTACTGAACATGCTGCTTTTACTTAATAACTTTACCTGTTTCTGAATGATTTCACTTTGATTAGAAGCTTGGAGAGTGTGTTCCCGCTTAATTTCTATCTGTTGCTGCTTCTTCTTTTGCTGCTGATCCCTGAGTTGCTGAACCCTTTGCAACTGCTCTTGCACACTGGCTGCCTGCACTGTAACCACATTCTGAATGTGGTGAGTCTGCACAGGACTGCTTTGCTGAATTTGAATAGGTAACTGGAGTTTGATTTGCTGGGGCACACCACCTTGCTGAGCCTGTATCTGAGCCACAACCTGCGACTGGATCTGAGAGAGAACCTGGACTTGTTGTTGCAGCTGGGGCACAGCAATGACTTGGGGCTGCGGCTGCTGTATCTGTAGCTGAGGACGGGATGGGGATGAAACAGTAACTTGGTTTAACGTCTGTCCTGATGAAAGAGTTTGAGTTGGAGACTGTACCTGGGGTTGTGATTGTGGCTGGCCCTGGGAAGGTGTCTGAAGAGATGTATGTGGTTGAATTGGAATCGGTTGTGAGGTTGTAGTCTGAACCTGGGATTGCTGTCCGGGAGACACTTGGGATGGAGTCGATGGACGTATTCGAGTCTGTGGTGGACTTTGGACGCGAGCAGGAGACTGTCCTTGGACATTACTTTGAGGCTGACACTGTACTGCGACTTGGGGTTTGGATGACTGTGCTTGGGCGGGTTGTGCTTCAGAAGGGACATGGGATGCAACAGTTGTTGGGGTCTGAGCTTCAGGCTGAGTCTGCACTTCAGGCTGAGCTGGGGACGGGGGCTGGGTTTGGGGCTGGGGCTGAGCTGAAGGCTGAGCAGTCTGTGGCTGGGCTTCTGGAGGACTCACACTTGATGACTGAGCTGGTGGCAAGGTTTTGGCTTGTGGCACCTGTGTCGGGGGTGATAATTTACTCTGTCTTTGTTCACCTGTACCTGTGAAAAAGAAAGACCAAATGTTTCTATGACTCTACAACACAGAACCTTGGTTAAAGAAGAATCTGCTGGGGATTTCCTAAAGGTGCGAATTCTGAATTTCAGTATAGAAGACTGACACCTTAGACATTCCAGAGACACTGCAGAGACACATTTGAGTTAGGACTCTCCTAACCGGGGAGCCAGGCCCTGTCTCTAGAAATCAGCCAGGACTTCTGGGACAGGCTGACGTTAAACCCTCATTGTTTTCCTGGGGAGTGGTGAGGGCAGCCGGCAGTGGGAGGCTAACACAGTGGTTCTGGACCTGCAGCTAAGTGCAGGCCATGAGCTGGATACATCAACCTTCCCCGACATTACCTGCGTAATCCATTGGTGCCCCCGAGGCACCATGACTCCAGTGGTGCCCACAAGGCTGGGCAAGACGCAAGTGTGGGCACAGTTACCACGATACCCACTGTTTTTGACCCCCCGCCCCAATTTTCTGTATTTTTTATGGGGTGATGGAGGTGACAGGGAACCTGTAGGAACAAGAGATGTTGTGAGGTTGACCGGACAGCTCTTAGGCTCACTGGCTTCAGGCATATCTTCCCAAAGATAAACACTGGGCCTCCTTTCCCTCTATCAGCCCAGCAACTTGTGCAACGACAAGCGGCACTTCTGATAACCCCAAGTTCTACCTGCTGCCGTAGTGGAAACGGTGGTGGTAGTGCTGCTGGCCGCTGTGGCTGTTGTGGCCAAAGGTGTGAAGAGGAACCGCTGGACAGTACCGTTTGGCATGGCAGCTTGCATCAGCTGCTGTCCTGGGCCCGGGAGTATAGTCACCCCTTGAGGTATCAACTGCAACTGTCCAGTCGTTTGACCTTGTCCTTGAATTACTACTGTCAAACCTTGATTGCCGCCCTATGGAAAACAAAGGACAACGGGTAAACAGTGTTCAAAGCATCAGTCTTTAAGTATACCACTTTTACGTTGGAAAGATCCTTTTAACGTAATGAAACTACGTATCTGAAGGCCTAGAGAACGGCATCGAAAGGAATTCAGATAAGCTAAAGTAAGAATATTTATTTGGAAAGACCGATGCTGTTTAGTGGAGAAAATATGAACTAATGACCCAGAGTTCCAGTCCAAGCTCTCCAAATGGACAGCCAGGTATCTGTCTACAAGTAACACTACTCCTCCAGATCTAAATTTCCCTACTATCTACAAAATAAAGGCGCTGAAGTGAATGACTAATGTCTCCACAAAATTCTGATTTTAAACCATCTTATATTCGTATTATTTTGTAATTTTCAAAGCATCTTTGTATATACTGTCTCGCTGGATTCTCACAATGGACTTGTGACTTCGTGGAGTGGGGAGAGAAAATATTACTATAACCTTATCACCAATTAAGAAACTCAAGGTTAGAAAGTTCAAGTCACTTGCCCAAAGCTAGAGATGAACTTAAAGGTGAGAAAAAATGAGGAACCCAGGTCTCCTGGTTTCACCTTTTCAGTACGTACCAGATTACCTATGGTGTGTGTCTGTGTGCACTGAAGGAGAAAAAGCTTAGGGTTTCGACAGGTCGTGAGGGTCGCTAATGCCCAGGTAGTTACCAAAATGGGGACCAGGAACTAAGAACTCTGAATGTACTGCCACTTCTGTCCAGGACTTGCTAATCCAGGAAAATTAACTACTAGGGACACGGCGGAGAGTTAGAAATCAAAGTAAAACAACCCACCCCAAATTCTCAACAGCCCAGGCTGACGCCACCAAGTTCATATACTAATGCACATATACTTGACTCATGAGTCCCTCGTTTACTCTTGCACATAAAATACCAAGTATAGTTTAAAAAATAATTATAAAGTAAACATCTATAAAATCAGCACTCAGGTCATTGTCGCCAGTATCCAAGAAGTCCCTGCTGAGATCTGCTCTGATCTGCGTTCCCTTCCTTTCCTCTGGAGGTAAACACTGTTCTCACTGTTATGGTATCATCACACTTCTTCATAGTGCGACTGCTTAAGTACAGACCTATCTGGGGTTACAGGTTCACAACTTCAAGAATGCCATCCATGAAAAACATGATGGGAACGAAGCTTCTCTCGACGGACAATGCAGCAGCCCTGTATCCCTATACAGCACAGCTGGTTTTGCCCGTTTCTGAATTTTGTGCAAATGGAATCATAATGTAAGTTTCATACTTGCTCCCTCAGCTCAACAATGTAGTTCTGTGTGGCCACGGTTTTTCACTTTCATTACCGTAGGACTACAACACAATTTATCGAACTGACAGTAGACAGACTTTTGGGCTGTTCTTACTTTTCTACTCTGGTGAACCATGCTGCTATGAAGACTCATGTTCATTATCCTGGTGCTCACGTGAACAAGAACTTCGTTAGGGAATACGGGAGAACTCCTGGACCAGAGGTATGCATATCCTCAACTTTGCCAGGTCACGCCTGGAGTTGTCCAAATGGCTAAACCAATTTATACTACCACGGTTGCACATGGAAGTGTATTTTGTTTCACGTCTTTGCCAGCTCTTCACCTTGACCAACATTTTAATTTATACCAACCTCTTATGTACACGGTTCTCATATCCATTTCCCTCGTTACCAATAGAGTTCAGTAGTTTTTTTGATTTTGGATATTTAGATTTCTTCTCTCCTTGTCAAGTTTGTATGCCCCCAACTTTTTTTTTTTTTTACTGAGCTTTGCTCTTTTGCCTTATTTTTAGTAATTCTTCATGTGTTTTGGATAACAGTCTGTTTGTGTTACTTTTTATAATGTCTGATGAAGTTCTTATTTTTAATGGAGTTGAATTTATAAATCTTTTCCTTTATGGTTAGTGTTTTTTGTGTGTAAGTAAGAAAGCCTTTCTTTCCTATCCTAAGGTTATGAAGGTGTTCTTCTCTCTAATCTTCTGAAAGTATTATACTCTTACCTTTCACAGGTAGGACTTTTATCCTCCTGGAAAGGAGTTTGGAAGTGAGGTAGTGGCCCAGTTTCACAGTTTTCCGTATAAATTCAATTGTCCCAGCACCATTTACTGGAAAGTCTGCTCCCTTCTCAATGGCTTGTAATGACATCTCTATCATGGAACAAGTGTTCACATAGGCATGGGTCACTTTTTGCATTCTCTGCTGCGCTATTCATCTCTCTGTCCTAGTTGCCTGCACCTTTCTGTACTAATGAGTGAGGCATTATCAAAATATTTTGATATCAGGTCATCATACAGGGCAAAGCCTCCTGTTCGTCAACAGTTTTATAACTATTCCTTCTCCTTTGCACTTCCATTTTAAATTTTTAAAAAATCAGCCTGTCAGTTTCCATAAGAAAATCTCCTTGATTTTTAAAGGAACTGCATTCAACCTACTGATTACTACTAGAACTGAGAACAGTTGAATCTTGCAAGGAAGCAGCTGATGTACTCAAGTCTTATTTTTCCAATGGAAATTGGTCAACTAATAATGTTTTGGTACTTAAGAGGATTATCCATCTGGCTGTTTTAGCTCACAGTCTAAGGGCTCTAGATGACTGAAACTGATTATATCTCGCCTTTAAGAAGTATTTTTGACTCTACAAAGCAGCCATTTCTTTAAAAAGTACATTTTAATCTTCTGAGAATAAGTACCTGTTTTTAAACTTACTGCAAGAATAAAACGGATCACCTCTAGAGTTAACTAAGTGGAATTACAAATGAAAACTGGAAAAAGAGAGTTACCATGAAATGCCATTACTTACGTGGCCCTGTGTTAACTGAGTGAGTTGAGCCATGGTGAGCTTCACCTGTCCCTGTTGGGGACGAGGGGCCGGGGAGGGTGAAGGCTGCAGATTTGCACTGGATGTTCCCGAAGTTAATGCTTTCTGTCCTGGTGCTGAGGAAACTGCATTAGGGGTAGAGATCGCGGTGGAAACGGGTTGCCCTCTAATGATCTGGGTCACCACTTGCTGAGGGGCACCTACACAAACAGCAAAACGTTATGAATGCTTATATGCCCCCAGGCAGTCAACGCGTCAGGTGAAGGCACTCTTCTCAGTTTTCGAAAAGACTTATATGATGCCGTCAGCCCAAGGATGTGCTCAGACATATATCCACGCCCACAGTCCCACCTGGTTGCCAGTGAAGCTACTCTCGCTCAGCTCACACAGCCATTCCCCAGTTCCTGCTATCTGCAGGAGACTGAAAAAACAATATTCTTCCTGGGAGGCCAAAGCTAAAATGACAAGAGGGAAGACTGAAGGAAGAAATATATACCTAATAAGCCATTTTATAAGGCTGCCTTTCCTGAGGAATATTTAAAATAAGATGACAATCTAACATATGATGACTTCATATGACTTTTAAACATAACAGGACTATTCTGAACCAACCACGTTTATGAACGAGCTCTTCCTACAGCTTTTCACCTGTTTGGGAGAACCACGGGGTCAAGATCACTATATCCTTAGTATTAAGGCAAAACATTCAAAGAATGCATCCATAGTTCATTGCTTAATAAACATCTACTGGATGAATGAATTTTAATTAGGATGGCTCAACAGTCTCCTAAAAACTTTAATTCTCATTTAACTTGCTGAAACTGGAGGAAAAGACAGGTGGAATCCGCTGCCCCCTGCCGTGGAACAGTTGCTAAGAGTAATGATCTGGCAGCTAATTTTACATTTATAATGTCCTAATTCATTTTTAATTAGTGAATCACATCACATTTATGATGTTTTACATTCACCTTCTGTCTTTTGTTCCATAGGTGAATACATAGGTATTTCTGTATTTCTTTTAATGAATGGTGTTTAATATTCTTGCCTATGTATAACATTGAATGTCTTCTGCTATTCAAAATACCTTCCCCTTTATCTTTTAATAAATAATGCTATGGTAAAATCCCTGTTCATAAATTTTTATGCACTTCTAGTTCTTTCCTTAAAATAAACTCCTCTCAGTATTACTGCGTTTCTAGTAGGAACACAGTACCAAACTGAATTTTAGATAGGTTATCCCAACTCACATTCTCACCATTACTGAGATTCTATTTCACTGGACCCCTGGCAACCCTATGTACTATCGGTAAAGTACAATATTCCAGCAACCAGAAACGGTCTGATAGTATCATGGTATCTGAATTTCTTCAATTACCATAGAGGGTCAGCATTTAAATCCCTGTCAAGTCATGATGCTTCATTTGCGAGCTCTCTCTCCACACTCCTTCTCATTTCTCTACGTTTCCTACTTATTTATAGTTGATTTTTAGAGATTAAAGATATAAATTATAATTATATATTTTTCCTACTTTTTAAAAAATTTTTTTAATGTTTATTTATTTTGAGAGCGTGAGAGTGGGCAAGCAGGGGAGGGGCAGAGAGAGAGAGGGAGACACAGAATTCGAAGCTGGCTCCAGGCTCTGAGCCAACAGCACAGAGCCCGACGCAGGGCTTCAACCCACGAACCGTGAGATCATGACCTGAGCTGAAGTTGGACGCTTAACCGACTGAGCCACCCCAGTACCCCTATTTTTCCTACTTTGCATTCTGCCTTTTGTTTCTTTTTAACAAAGTTGTGTGTGTCTGTTTTCTTTATTGCAGCTTTAATTATTGCTTTTAAAATTTTCCTGCATTCTCTAATCAAATCTATCCTCCCAAGTAAGTGCTTAGTTACGATATATGTTGGCAGATGTCTAGCCAGCCCCCTCCCCCACAAAAATATAAACTGATTATTCTAGGATCATTTACTGTAAGTACTGTCTTTCTTTCTTGATTCAAAATGACAATTTTATCACACTGCAAATTCTCACATATAATGCCTCTTTAAGTGAGTCTATTGGTTTAGTTTCCTTTGGTGACCAGTGCTGATCCTGGTCGTGTATCATATGTTCCAACAACCAGCAGCGTATGTTCTCCATCATTACGCTTTCTTCTAAAACTTTTCTCCATTATTCTCTCCCATTTATTAACATGAACCAAAAAACAAAGTACATCATGTGAAGTCAAGTGCTTTAATTTGAGAACTTCTGGACCCCACATTATGTCCCTGTACTGCAGTTTGAGGAACAATGCATGAAAAATTACTTTACTTGATTCCCCTGGTACTGATATGATGTTATCATAAACACAAATGGATTAAAGGGTTGGTAACGATCATACGATGGTCATTCAGATGATCCCCAACACGTACATGGTTGGTTTGTTCTTAATATGAAATTTATTGTCAAACTGGTTTCCCATAAAACACCCAGTGCTCATCCCAACAGGTGCCCTCCTCAATGCCCATCACCCACTTTCCCCTCCCTCCCACCCCTCATCAACCCAACAACATGTACATGTTAATTTGTTTTGAGATAATGACCAAAATGCAAATTCAAATATTAAAAAATTGTTATGGGGCGCCTGGGTGGCTCAGTCGGTTGAGCATCCGACTTCAGCCCAGGTCATGATCCCACGCTTCGGGAGTTTGAGCCCTATGTCGGGCTCTGTGCTGACAACTCTGAGCCGGGAGCCTGTTTCGGATTCTGTGTCTCTCTCTCTCTGCCCCTCCCCTGCTTGTACTCTGTCTCTCTGTCTCCCAGAAATAGATAAACATTTTTTTTTTAATTTTAAAAATTGTATCACATCCAGGGAGTCTGTGGATTCCATTTTGGGAAAGGCTAGTGTGGTGGGAGGAACAGGATAAGCCGATCGATCGGACCACAATCAGAGGTACGCTACACACATCCACCCCTCCTCCACCTCTCTGGCCACGATTCCTAGAATTCCTCCTCGTCTCCACTGGGCCTCACCAGACCCACTGGCCATCTGGCTTTTCCCTGACACACAAGACACACTCATGTGTAATTATGGATTTACGGACTCACATATGCAAGTCAAACACATAACTGAAGCTACAGAAGGCAAAAGGGAACAAAAGGCAAAAGGGAACAAAAGGCTCTGTACATCTTGCGATCACCCAATTTTTTGTTTTGTAAGTTTCTTATCATTTGTCATCTGTAATTGTTTTTCTCCTTTACATTAGTTTTACTGTTCCCTTTAGTTACCTGACAGCTAGTTTTGAACAATAACAGATACTGAATTTTACCAATTGTTGCTGCAGCGTTAAGTGAAATAATGAATCATACTTTCTTTTCTGGAGTAAGTCCTGTTTAGGCTTTAGAAAATTGACTTCAAAAAAAACAAAACAATGGCACGTGGGTGGCTCAGCTGGTTAAGCATCTCTCGATTTCAGCTCAGGCCATGACCTCACAGTTTGTGAGTTCAAGCCCCACATCGGGCTCTACACTGGCAATGCGGGGCATGCTTGGGACTCTCTCTCTCTCTCCCTCCGTCTCCCCCCCACCCAAATAAATAAATAAAATTTAAAAACAAAAACAAAACAATACTTTTTATTTCATTTTAGAACTGTGCTAAAATTGCAAACTAAACGGAAAAGATTTAATCTTTTCTGCCCCCTATTCCCTGTAACTACTTCTTATAAGAAAGAAATTGCTTCCTAATCACTTCAAAGAATTTTACCATAAAACCAGGGTCTAGAATTCTTTTTTGTAGGAAATCCTCTAGCAACTTTGCAGATTTCTTTCCTTGAGATGAGTCATCGAGACTTGAAATTTATAAGCCTAGTATACACTTCTGCTTCATTATTCAAACATATTTAGTTCCTGAATATGGATAGTGAAAATTCTCCAAGGTCTTTGTTTTTTTTTTTTTAAGTTTATTTAGTGTGAGAGAGAAAGAGACAGCACGAGTAGGGGAGGAGCACAGAGAGAGGGAGAGAATTTCAAGCAGGCTTTGTGCTGTCAGCACAGAGCCCAATATGTGGGCTTAAACCCACGGACCAGGAGATCATGACCTGAGCTGAAATCAAGAGTCAGATGCTTAAACCGACTGAGCTACCCAGGTACCCCTCTCCAAAGTCTTATTAGAAGGATAATTCTACTTGATTAAAAAAAGTTCATTCTATTTTTATAGCACTTTTTCTCATTCCTAATTCTGTAAACCAGCATTTTGTTCCCCTTTCTCAAGATGAGACTTGCAAAAGAATGGTTTATTTTAATAACATGTGCCCTTTTCCATTTTCTTCTCTTCTTCTTCTTTCTTTAAAGATTTTATCAATCTCTACACCCAAAGTGGGACTTGAACTCACAAACCCCAGGTCAAGAGTCGCATGCTCTACCAAATGAGCCAGCCAGGCACCTTGCCCTTTTCTGTTTCCTAATTATTACTTGTATTTTATTTTACTTCCTCCTGTTTTCTTTCAAGACTTGTTTTATATATTTTTCTAAATGCTGATTACGACTTAAGAATGTACTGGGGTGGCTCAGTCGGTTAAGTGTCCAACTTCAACTCAGGTCACGATCTTGCAGTTTGTGAGTTCGAGCCCTGCGTCGGGCTCTGTGCTAACAGCTCAGAGCCTGGAGCTTGCTTTTGGATTTGGATTCTGTGTCTTCCTCTCTCTGCCCCCTCCCCTGCTCACACATGCGCGCTCTCTCTCTCTCTCTCAAAAATGAATAAACGTTGGGGCGCCTGGGTGGCGCAGTCGGTTGAGCGTCCGACTTCAGCCAGGTCACGATCTCGCGGTCCGTGAGTTCGAGCCCCGCATCAGGCTCTGGGCTGATGGCTCAGAGCCTGGAGCCTGTTTCCGATTCTGTGTCTCCCTCTCTCTCTGCCCCTCCCCCGTTCATGCTCTGTCTCTCTCTGTCCGAAAAATAAATAAATGTTGAAAAAAAAAAAAAAAAAAGAATAAACGTTAAAAAAAATTTTTTTTTAAAGACTTAAGAATATGGGTTTTGGTCTGTTTTGTCCTCCAATGTATTTTAATTGCCTAGGGTAGGTGCTCAAGTATTTATTGAATAAATTTGCCTCTGAGTTTAGCTTTGGCAGCATGACTTAGGGGCTACTTAATGTGCTTGAAACTATACATTTGATGTTTCCTTCACCTAAAAGTTACTTATAAAAACACCCGTTTTTAAATTTCCAAGCAAGTAAAAATTAGCAGAATAAGTTATTAACTTCTTGTTTTACTTTGAAGAATGTGGCCTATACACCTTCTACTGTTTGGAAAGAATTCATCAGGTTTTACTATGACTCATTATGTGACCATTTTGGTACAAACAGCCCATAAATATTTAAAACCAATGTGCATTCCTGAAGGTTGAACAGTTGACATGAAGCCTGTTTCTCGTCTACAACGCTCCTGCTAATCCCTCCTTCATATCAAATAGTTTTTGCTTTATACACTCCAATGTGATCTTATTTGGTTCCTAAAGTTCCCAAATTACACCTTCGTTGCAAGTTTTTATCTTTAAGACAATGTGAAAATCACAGACTTCTACTCTGCTCAATATTAGTAGGGTAATCCTTATCTTCCGCCCCCAAACCTCATCCCCCTTTCTTTCTTTCTTTTTTTGGTCTTTGCCCATCTTATTATTGTGTACCTTTTGTAGTAATTCAACTTTAGGTATGTTTCTCATAAATGTACAGTTGGGATTTTCTGCTCAATCTTTTAGCGTTCCGCTTTCAATATGGCAGCTTTAACTTATTCACATTAATGAAAGGCTGACACTGTCTCTGTAATCTTTTTTTTATGCTTTCCATTTAAATGCTTCTTAGCTGTTTCCTTGATTTTATCTCCGTCTTTTGCCAAACAGACTGTTGTCTTTCCTCATTTTCTTTATTCCAATGACTTGAATTAGTATATATTCCATCTACTAGAGGTTTTTAAAACATTTTTATTAAGCAAACTTGGATCTATTTTCTCTCATCGGCACAGCCAGAGATGAAACAACATCTATGAATGTACTCCACAATGGATTAGAAATTTAGTATGCTTTGAATACTCATTCACAATGCAGAGCAGTAACCACTATATGATCACAGCCTGAAGTATTCATCCAAATTAGTATTTTCTAGTATGTAAAGTAGCCAATACAGAGTATTACAGATTTCCCAGACTGGATGTTTAGATGTAAAATGAAAATGCTGGAGGGACGAATACCTGGCTGTACCATCACGGGTGTTCGAATAATTGCCTTTCCTAGTGTTGACTGTTGGAGTGGTGTTCTAATCACCGTCATACCAGGGCGGATCTGAGGCCCTGTGATTACCTATAAATGACACAAAGGAGAATGAATTAAAATGCTTTTAAAAGACTAAAAAAGCACGATGGACTTAGAACACAGTTTTTAAACATCCTATGTTGATAATTACATCTACAGAAATGACAAAGGCTCTTGGGCATTACATTTTAAATTATATTAAGCATCAGAATAACGATGGAATTCTGAGGGAAGAAAATTTAATCCAAATGAGATCATACAAAATTCTTTGTCACTGATATCAAGTGATATCTGGCCTACAGACCAGAAGGAAGGCACATGGCTCAGTGAAGCTCTGTCCTATAATCACCGCAGCTGTTCAGAGAAAAATGTTGGGTCGTGTTCTCCCTGAGGTCCAACACATATCTGTCACCCACAGCATACGAGATCGGAAACCAAATGTCCTTTCACAGTTTTAGAGGAGAGACTACAGAGCATATTGTTTTCAGTTTTACAGTTACGTCCAGAACATTTTCAAGTCTGCAAAACTTGAAACCTTTTCCATGATACCAGAGCCAAGGAAATGATGTATATAATACGTGTGCATGTCGGCCGATAACCAACGAGCTCTAATGCCACGGATTCTATTTTTCATTCCACTTCTCAGTTGCATACCAAGTTTCCCTCGGGGCTCCAATGCTGTCTGCTGTTTTATATGAAGGAATTTCCTCTACAGAATCCTAGAAAGCATTTCTTCTGATTCATAAACTAATATGCTATTATGCTGAAAATTAACATTTCATATATCATTTATGCTTAGATATATAACAGATTTTTTAAAAAGTCAGTACCTTGGCATAGATGAGTAAAAGGTAAAGGAAGGTGAGCTAAATTAATCCTGGAAGGGGCCATTCTAAAAACTTCAACTTGATGTGGTTAATGCTTTAAAACAAAAGAAGTCTGTAAAGAATTCTTACTTGTGAAGTGCTTGTGGTTGCTCCAGAGCCTGAGGTATTGGGCCTAATTGTGACTGTTGCTGTCCTGGGCTGGAATGAAGTAAAGGTCTGCTGACTTGTACCTGTACTTGATGGAATGATACCCAGGACTTTCTGCTGTACTTGAACAACGCCTTAAAAAAAGATGAAGAAGTCATTAGCAACTGCCCCTTTCGTAACAAGCATCAGGTGTCACTGGGTTTCTGAGGAGAAACTACGTGTGGCAGGGTTTTATAGTGGGCTACATAGAATGTGAGGTCCAAGGACTGAAATCAGTGAAAAGGAAATGAAAAATAATGGCAACAGTATGATCTGGCAAATGTGAATTCAAACTCTTCACATTTCCCTTACCTCCTTGTGTTGCTGGCACATTTACAGCGACAATCTTGCTGTTTGCAGGAAGTGGCAGTTTGGTAATTACTTTTCCTGCCATAGTGACTGGATTGCCTGTAATTTGGAACGTCTGACCTGTGCTGGCAATGGTTGTAGCAGATGTGGCAGCTGTGCCGGTGGCTAATGGGGTATAAGACATTTAATAAGCTTTAGATTTAAAATAACCAGCAACGTAGTGACTTCTAGGAAGGGCACCAAGGCATGAAATGTGGCTCATTCTTGTCTTTTTAAGAAAAACATTCCTCTCCACTCAAAGTAAGTGAACTATGTAAATGTTGAGAGGGAAATAATGGAAGAGGGGAGTTTCGCTCATGTCATATCAGGAATATTATCTGTAACAAACCAACTGTGGCAGCTTGATCGCTCAATCAGCTGCAGGAAGAAAACAATTCTCTAAAGAAATGTTTCATCTCAGTCGGTAAATGATCGAAATTTCTTTTTCCTGAATGAGAGCAATCTTTTCTTTAAGAACGGTCGTGTACCTGAGTTTGACTGGCCTTGCTTAACCCACGTAGCGAAGGTCTGATGGAAGTTCTTGTTTTGCTGGAATGTCACTGTCGCTGGAGATCCAACTTTGGTAGTTAGTACCATTTTAGTTCCGGTTGTAACGGAGCCACTTATGGGGGCCACCATCACTTTAGGCGCTGGGGAGATGGTACTAGTTGTACTGTTCGTTGGGGAAGTGGTGGAAGCTGCAATTGCTGTAGGCTTCTGCTGTTCCAATCGTTTCTAGAAAAGTCAGGGAGAGAAGACATGAACCGAAACAGTTCCAAATAAAAACAATACCATTCTGCAAGAAGTCCACCCACTATTTCTCCAAATCTAAGAAACTGCACCAAATTTCTCAAATATTTTATTTCTGAACCTATGTATTTAAATTTGCCCTTCCATTTAATTTCTTGACACAGGCCAATATTTTTATGACTCTAAACCACACCTATTTTATTGAAAGTAGTAAGTCTTTCATTCAAAAATGAAGAACAATCAAATTTTTCCAACCTATACAAATGTCCAACCTTTCAGATGGCAAATAAAAGAAACACGGGTCATCTTATTGAAGACAGGAACACTTTGCGGCTCAGCGGTGGGATTTAGAGCACACAGCAAATGATGGGAACTGTACAACATTTCTGGTTTACTGTAGTGTTAATTTATCCAATTATAAAATACAGGTCAGTATTTAAATAATCACTATCCAAGTTGACAAACAGGCAAGCAAGTTGAAAATTATAAGAAAACATCTTTTCTAAACTTCTTATATTACTCAGTTTAAACATTTTTTTTTACAGAAAAAATATTTTAGACTATTTTACACAGGGAAGCATAGCCTGATTACAATAGAGGGTTATTAAAGCCAATTTGTACACCTTCCATCATAGATTGCTAACATGTCCTGACCTTACCAACATGACAATGTAAGCTTCCACATGTAAAAAAAAAAACATAGGTGCCAATGATTTCAAACCTGATGGCAAACGCTTTGTCATAATTATCTTCTTTAATGCTCAGACTGACCCAACAGAGTTGCTGGTATTATAACTTAAAGATGAGGAAACTGAGACTCAGAAAGACTCTGGCCTGGGCAGAGCTAGCTACTGCTGGAGGTGAGAGGTGTACTAAGATAATATGGCAATGCTGAACTATCTCCTGCCACTGCAAACTGCTCACCGGCGACATCACAGCCAGTCTCGACAGGAGTGCTTTTGTAAACATCCTATGCGCGTGAACAGAATGTGAGGTATTTCACACAGTTTCTCATTCCTCAGAAGAAAAGTTTAGTTTTGTATATTTAGAAATGTCATCTGATTCAATCAGTTAAAAAAAAAAAAAAAAGAGAGACAAGGAAACTGAACACATATTAGGTAGTTATTTCCTGAGGGTGCTGAGGATATGCCTTCAAAATTGGAAACGTTGACTGCATTTGTAAATAAGTATTTTAAATACATTTTTAAAAATCACACCAAACTCTTACAGAGTTTTAGTAGAATTTGCTTTTTCATAGACTACAGAGATTTTACAGATTGGAACTCTGCAGGAAAACGTATTTCAAAATTACCCTCAAACTCATGTGACACTGTGTGTCAACTATACTTTAGTAACAACAAAAAATTACGCATTGAATTTTAGATAATAAGTCAAACCACATGAATATATCAACACTGTTTTGGTGTGCTTTTGGTGTGCATGGACTTGGCTAAAAATGTCAACTCGCTGCCAGGTGGGACTAGTACCAACTCCCCCACCTGCCGGGCAGCCAAGCGCTGCTGTTTGAGGTGAGCCTCCATTTGGGCCTTGAAGTCCTCTGCCTTCTTCTGTTCACTAACCTTAGCCTGTTGCTCAACTGCTTGTGCCTTCTCTTTCTCCACTCTGCAGGAAACAAAGGAGAAATTTTATCAGAAACTACACTATGAGGCATTCGGCATCAAATATTAAGTGACATCTGGTTGACTCTCATGTTCTAAAAAGATGTGAAATTATTTCGATTTCAAAAATGAACGTTAAAAGGTAATTAGAAACTGACAAGTGGATACAACACATTAAAATTAGAAATAGGACTTTAATAAATGATATATAGCTAGCACTTAAAATCCAAAGGCGAAGTAAAATTAACTAGGACATACTGAATAAACTTTTAAGGTGGTAATTCTTCAATTCTGAAGTGATAAAAACTTCAAGTATCTGAGCACATGTTAACCGTTTCCTTACCTTTCAGCAAATGCCCTGATCTCCCATAATTCCAACTCTTCCTCTGCTACCCAAGTTTCGATAATAACAGGGCCAGTTTGCTTGGGCGTTTCCGGTCTCTTTGGCCGCAATGCACTCGATCGAAGGCCTTTTCTCTGAGGCGTAGGTGTTTCTTTGCAAAAAAAAAATCAGAGTATTTTAAGCAATATAGCTTCTAAAATTGCAGTACTTCTGACATCTCCTCTTATATCATGAAAAACAAGAGTTGGCCAACTTTTTCTTAAAGAGCCAGATGGTAAATACTTTATATTGTGTGGGCCAGATGGTGTCTGTAACAACTATTCAACTGTGCCTTTGTTTTCGTGAAATGAGCCAGAGACCATACATAAGTGAGTACATATGGCTGTGGTCCAATCAAACTTTATTAACAAAAGCAGGTGACGGGTCAAGGCTCATGGGCCAGGTCTGCTCGCTCCTGATATAAAAGGCCTAAGAGCCTGTTACATCTGCCCGTAACATTCCTCCTGGCTTCGCTCCCCCTCACATGACTAATGCCTGTTCATCCCGCAGACCCCACCGTGGATACAACATTCTTCAAGAAGCCTACTGCGTTCCTCGCACCTAGTTGGGCTGAGTGTCCTCGCCATGTACATACAGCTCTGGCAATGTGTGTCTCCCCATCACAGAACTGAGAAGGGGAATTTGAAAGTTGCCAGTGTAAAGAAGGGATCAGAAACTACTACCTATAGGTAAAATCTCCTAATGTAAGATTTTAAAAAGAAAAAGCAGGGAGAGGCGAGCATTGAACCTTCCCATTTGTTCAGGGAGCAGGGAAGCAGCTGAAATGGCAGAAGGACCTAGGTTATCCAAAGTGATAAGGGCAAAGAAAAGTGACTCAAGGAGACTGCAGTGGTTTGAATCGAAGGCTCTAGGGTCAAGACTAAAGACTGGTCAGAAACTTGCCTCTTCCATCTGTTTCTCTGCCTATCGACTGAGCTACTTCTGTTCCAGGACAGCACTGTTTTAATTACTTTACTATTTATTTCATCATTCTACTAGGACAGGTACCCCTTATTGAAGTTCTTTTCAAAAAATCTACTCTCATTTATTCTCCAGGATAAACCTTTGAATTAATTCAATCAAATTTCAAAATTTAAATTTATACATTTTGGGACAGTTAACTTCTATTAAATAGTATGTTTGTATCTAAGGACAGCATTCTCTTTTTGCCCATTTTGTAACAGATTTTTTTCCTGAATGGTTTTACTGGACTTCTAAAATAATACTGATTTTAATCTATTTATAGCTCTTGAATCTGGTCACCTGACTGAACTCTTTCTAGCATAACAGTTTGGATGCTCGTGTCATAGCATTATAACAACACTGTAACGTTTTCTCTGCTTCTTTGAGAATAGGGGCCACATCCAGTTCTTCCATGTCTTCGCTGTCTAATGTCCCCACGTAGGTGCTCCCTAAATGTTTCCTGAATCACTCTTTGTGCCTCTTAGATCATTTCTTCCCCCTGACGTTATTTCAAAACAGCTTTAACTCTTGAGCCAAGAAATGTTCAGTGACCACTCCTGCGTCTGATTCTGCAGCAGGTGTCAGGACTACAACAAACCAGACGGGCTCGGTGGCCGCCCTCTTGGAGCCGATGGTCTGGTGTCAATCACTGTTCCACAGCCTGATTATGAGAAGTTATTGTTACAGCTCTCTGTACCCCTCCCTGTGTTCAGCGCGATGCCTATAGGTATCACTGTGTGTCTAGTGGAATCTTGTTAACTTTATTGAGTATCAAAAGATATCTTCTTCAGAAGTTGAATGAAGAGATAAGGAAACAATTTTAATCCAATTTTAATTCGTAAAAGATGTGGCCAACAGGTCAGTAACAAAGAACATTCCTTTCCTTTCTATTTCCATTCTATTCCTTACCTTTTGGTGCTTCTGGAACTCCAATGGGGCAAATGATTTTCCGGATACAATATTCAGATCGAATGCCGTAAGGACCAACATCTCGCCTCTTAATTATCTCTGTCGTCGTGATTTCAGTTTCAGAGGTTTCTATGGTGATTTAATTCACATAGTATTAATAACCACCTAAAATAGTCAGAGACTAGAAAAGTACAACATCTGGTGCTTTAAGAAGGAGACACACATGGAGTAAACTTTTGAAAACATTTGATTATTTAATGACTTCAGGATCATTGCTGGACTGCAACAATACTGAGTTTCTTGCTCACTGAAAATTTCTAAACTGAGCTGTTTGGGGGCAGCTTGGTTTCCGGTGGCAAACAGTCAAAATAAATAAGAGAAGAGAGAAGCAGCAAGCATAGGGTTCTGGATGTCCCAGTTTAACTGATTTGTTCTCTGTAATAAGATCTTTTAAAAATTCAGACTGATTCACATGTAAGTGCCTCACCTTATAATTTAACCCCCCTTTCCTAGCCCCCAGTATCTCACAACATGTGCTACCAAACTTTAGCGAAGCTGTATTTTAAAAACACAAGCCATATATATATATTGGGTGTTTTTTTTTTAATTTTTTTTTTAATGTTTATTTATTTTTGAGACAGAGAGAGACAGAGCATGAACGGGGGAGGGTCAGAGAGACAGGGAGACACAGAATCCGAAACAGGCTCCAGGCTCTGAGCAGTTAGCACAGAGCCCGACGCGGGCTTAAACTCACAAACTGCGAGATCATGACCTGAGCCGAAGTCGGACACTTAACCGACTGAGCCACCCAGGCGCCCTATATTGTTTTTTTTTTGATGGCGGTGAAGCACACATGGGCGCGAGCTGGGGAGGGGCAGAGAGAGACAGAGAGAGAGACAGAGACAGAGAGAGAGAGAGAGAGAGAGAGAGAGAGAGAGAATCCCAAGCAGGCTCCACAGTGTCAGCTCAGCCAGACGCAGGGCTCGAACTCATGAACTGTGAGATCATGACCTGAGCTGAAATCAAGAGTCGGACGCTTAACTGACTGAACTACCCAGGTGCCTCCCAAGCATTATATTTTAATAAATAACAAAAATGCTTAAAAGTAAATGAACTGTCAAGTGATTTTTCTCTTTTCAACTTAGACTAGAAAAGGAAAAGCCCTTACCTGTCCGTGTGGTCCCTCCTCCTGGAGGAGCCTTGGCTGCCATGTCATCCCATCTCAAGCTTGCCCACAGTAACCGTAACATAAGGCTCACTCCAGCTAAGGACTTTACAGTCTGAAGTCTATACCTGAAAGAAAAACCCAAGAAAAACGACATATGTATTGTGCACGCACGCGTGCGCACACACACACACACGCTCTATTATTAAACTGCAGGACTATTTCTAGTTCTCATTATTAATAGTTATAATACAATTTTGTAAGCACTTTGGCTATTACATGTCCCTTAATAAAACAACTTTCTTGTTCCTAAGCATACCATGCATCTAACAACTTAAAAGGGGTCCGTATGTCACGTCAAACGCCATATAAGTTTCTAAAATGAGCGTGTTTCATTGTAAGACTGATATGGCAAGAATTTATGAAGATTTTATAACGTTAAGCCTAATTCCAAAATATGTGCTAGAGAAATTTCAAAGGAGAACACAATACAGAGACGTAATGGTGTTACTAAATGTGGTAAGAGTTTTGAAGGATAAAATCTTAACTAATTGATTTGTGCTGAAACAAACTGAAACTGTTTAAATTTTCTCAAAACCCAAAACGAAAAGACCCCCCACAAATCCAGTAAGACCTTTCCATATGAACAGAAATTCTGTATCCAAATGGTGGTTCTGGAAAACATGAGCTACTGGATGATGAATACCTGTCAATACTAGTAATGCTTTAACCACATTAGTAGCTTTAGAGTTCTACAACACAACGAATAATAAAAAAGGGTAATGCTATATTAGTTATTGATCAGGAGACAAAGGAATCTGTGTGCAGGTTTTTACTAAGCACTGTGTGCAAAGTTATTGAACATTTTAGATATTCCTTTGAAAATAATACTAAAGATACATTTCAAAACGAATTTACAATGGCAATGAATATTTTGTCCCAAAATGGAACTGACCGTAAAATAGTTTTAAAAAGCCCTTGGGTCTCAATTCTCTATTAGTGGTCTTTGAGTAATTAAACACTCTGTTGACAATATCCACATGCATAAATAAATAAACTGGTTGTGGTGTACAGAAAACCTATAAAACTAAAATAATTCCCTCCTCTAAGAGAGGTAGAATAAGGTGGACCTTAGACAATTTGTATTTAAGAGGCAATGCTTTCTATTCTAAACATGAAGCTGGGGAAATGAACAGTGTGAGAAGGGGACCGCTCTAGCCAAAAACTTGCTGCAGCTTCTTACATTCCCATCTCCACCTGGGACACCAGTACCTCCTTTGCTGTGCTGCCGCCCTGTGAATCCTGTGACCTGGACAGAACAATGCTCGAATGGGAGGGCGAACGCTAACCGCTGCAGGGGTATCCTGGGAGGGGGGAAGTACGTGTCACTTTCAGACCACACCCTACAGAAATGCCTAGGGAACTCTGGACACCAAATGGGGATGTACTTGGAAAGAGAAATGTTTCTCATTCTCTCTTCTTCCTCAGATCACTCTCTACAGTCAAACAGCAACTTCAGTGTGTCTCTATTTCACAAGGGAAACACCGCCAGGTGAGGAACACACCTGAAGCCTGTTCATTCGTGCATTCCTTGGAAGAATACTTGCGTGCCTTCCATGTGCTTTAGACTAACTGAAAGGAGCTGGAGACAGGGATGTGAATTATGATCTGCTCCTGTATCCTAAGGAGCTGTGACAGGAAAGCACGAGGGGCACCTGACTCGGCTCAGGGATGGGGATCAGAGCTTTGCTGGAGTCTCAAAGGACAAAGATGGGGGGATGGCTGCACAAGGGCAAGGGACACACGTATGTACGCTCAGGAGGAAAGTGTGCAACAGCACACGCTTCCTCCGGGAACCACATCTGGCATGCTACGACCGGAGGGCAGGGGGGTGGCGGTGCGGCGAGAGATGAAGCTGGCATGGGAGAGGAAGGCAGAGCCAGACGTGCCGCACCAAGTGGAAGGGTAAGAGAAGAGCATTAAAGGCGATCCGTATTAAGGCCTCGGAAGCGTCTGCAGTGTAGGATGGGTCATGGAGGGAAGTGCTTCTCACAGATGGGGGTGTACAGGCGAAGGCTGTCCCCTACCTGCCCCGCAGCTGAAGGCTTGCTCAGCTCAGTCAGAACATTCACAGGGTAGATCTGCCTTTTAGGAGGATCACTGGGGCAGAGCTGGGGAGACAACTACTGGTTCAAAGTGATAATGAAACACAGAATCAGGGCCCAGGAGAAAGGAAGTAAGGGAATGGACAGCGTGGAAGAAAAAAGAGGCCTAATGAGTTGACAAGACAAGTTTCGCTTTTCACTGCTGCTCAGCCTTACCATTAAATTAATAAAGATCAAACATGCACCTCTGACATTCTTAGCTTCTACGCTAAGCATCAGACATAATTGATTCAAGTGTGAGTATAAAAATGCATTTCCCATGCATGATTTTTACAGCAATACACTTTTTAAAAATGCATTCTAAAGTCAAGAATAGTTTACATATTTACCCATGCCTCTGTTAGATAAAAGGGATTATGTTTCTCTCAACTTCAGCAAATTCAGACGTTAGCATGTATCTGATGGCAATATCTGTTTAAAATGTACAGGAAGGTATTTCCTTCCATTAAAAAATGAGAAATTAACTAAACAGATACCAGTGGTGCCCACAGTGCATATTAAAACATAACAATACAAGGCTCCTGAAACCCAGCCGTGCAGAAAAGGGCCCTGGGCAACACGTGATCAGAACTGGTTCAGAGAAAAGTACTTCCCAGTTGAGCCTACCTTCCACTTGAGAAAAGAAAAGAGCAGAAAGGTCGGCCTCCACAACTGCCAGGTCATTGTAATTAAAGTATTTGTACATAGTAACTTTTCCAGTGGGAAAGAAGTTACCTGCAGGACAGTCAAGGATACATTTTGGGACCGCTCTCAATGAAGAAAGCAGAAAAGTGCAGAGTAATCCTATAAATCCATGAACTGTAATGAAGAGTTCCTTGATTCCCTGCAGGATTCTGCAAATCCTTCATTGCAGGCCCTGCAGAGAAATTGTACTTTTCAGCTGTCTCTATTGAATGTGTAATGGAGTGATATTTTAATTCAAATCAAAAGATGAGTTATAAAAACCTTGGTCAAACCAAATATGACTGGTGATATTAATAAGTTAATTTCTTTATCGAGAGTACTCATTTACACTTCGTTTTGGTTTTGGTTTTCTTTGATCATACTAGCCAGCTGTAATATAAAAGAAACACACACACACACACACACACACACACACACACACACACACACACGTATGATTTTAACTTAAAGAAAGTGGAACGACAGATACACAGAAATGAAGCCTAACGTGAAATGGAGTCTGCTCAGTCACTTGCTGAAATAATTTTAGGTTCCTATCAAAATCTAGCAGAAATCAAAGACTGTTCCTGACTCCTGAGCATGCCCCACACAACTCTTACGTCTTCGGTGTTTATGTTTCATCCTTTCCAGTGGTGAGGGTGAAAAGATAAAAAGACAAGGACATGAAAAAGGACAAAGCAAGGACAGATATGTGAAAATGTGATATAGCAGATAAAGTACTGGACTGGGGGTTTAGGAAAACCGGGCACTATTCCTAACTCTGTCCCTCTGTGGCCAGAGGCAAATTATTCCACATCTATAAAAGATAACAATTTCTAAGATCCTTTCCAATATAAAACTACACGATCTTACAACTGACAGCACTATGTACTTATGACTCATCCCCAAAGCTTAATGCCCAGAAAACCTTAATTTAAAACTATTTCTGGGTTTTAAAAACTCGTTCCTCAGGACCCTCTTGGGACCACCTCTTCGCACATAAATAACAGAGAACTCCAAAAACACATGCTTATCATGCAAATAAATTACATTAGGAAGATTTCCACATCATGATGGACCTTGTGTGATTCACAGGCATGTCTCCTGTATCTTATGTTTTTATGAATTACCTAATAGAAATAAAATACCAAACTCCAGAAAGTTGATTATCCAATTCTGTAACTCTCTCATTCCCCAGGAAAACACATGGCAGTAACTTGGAAAGTCAGACCACAAAAACAACTACGTTTTCCCTGTTTCTTCCGTCTTGTGAAAAGTAAAACTGAATTTCATTTTAAAGAATTCCCACATATTTTTTTCAGTCTTTTAACATTTTTCCCTAAGTAAACTTTGGTACCTCCCAGCTGGCCAAATTCAAGATTCTCTGTATCTTATTTCCATTACTAACTTGGTCCATTAAATTTCCGCTTCCCTGTCTTATCTCAATTATATCTCATTTTTTACAAAAAAAAAAAAAAAAAAGAGAGAGAGAGATGCTTACTAGATACTGCTTTTAAGACTTTCTCCCTTCCCCAAATACATTTTAAAGTACATACCTCCAAGTGATACCAAAGGTTGGTCTAGGAGAAGGATACGGCCATATATCCAAGGCAGGTTTTGCATTGTAATTAAAATAAGGGACTTCTCGGATTCCTCCTTTTCTGGCCAACTTTTTTAAGTCATCATTAGGCAACACAAATATGCTCTTCTTGCTGCTCTTGGTGATAAATTTTCTATAGGATGGCAGAGCAGTACCTGAACGAGTCTTCTTGGGTCTTGAAAACTTCATGAGTTTCACTTTGTCCCTTGTGGAATATTCTTTGCTCACGGTCATAGATGTTACCAGAGTGCCTCCTGCAGTGGTCAGTGAGTCTGTCACTGTTGTGGTGACCACAGTTTTGCTTTGCTCCTTCACAGAGATGATGTCCACGCTGCTGCCCGTGGAGGGTGTGGAAAGCTTTGTTACCGTTGTAGTGGTGGTCGTGACAGTGGATTTGGCACAGTTTTCTGTGGAAGAGACCACAGTCTGCTTATCACCTTTTGCTACTTTGATTACGGTTTTTGATTCCGTGGCCACCGTGGATGTCATAGTGGTGACTTCTGTGATGACGGTTTTCCTCTTAGACTCTCCGTTGACATTTTCATCTTTGCTGGCAGGCAGCCCATTTTCATCAACAAAATCATTACTGAGGTTAGATTCCTCTCCAGAAGTAACAGGTGAGGGAGTAACTTTCTTAACTTCTGAGGTTTCAATTTCCATATCTTCTACCTGATTTGTTGAACTGCTTTCTGGACAAGACAGTGGAGGTGTGGTAGTATGTATACTCTCAGACTCTTTGGTTGAAGGCAGGGTCTCTAGGCCATCCTGGTAGTCACCTCCAGCATCAGAAGATCTCAGTAAACATGATTTTGTTTCCACGTTGTTTTTTTCATTAAAATCTTCCATGATGACATCACCATTCATGAATGGCTTTACAGCAGATTCTTTAATGGTCAAAGACTTAATATCATTTTCAGGAATTATTTTACTTATATTATTAAGCTTTGGTTCAACATCGCCACTTACTACTTTACTCTCAGAGATTTCTTTCAAGCATTCCCCTTTCAAATATACTTTAGATTTATTATCTTTTCCATTTATTTGAAAGGTACTCGCTTTCTGTCCTTTCTTTTCAGACTCTCGATTTTCATTATTCTTTTTGTCAGTGCTACTTTTTAGATTGACTTGATCAATACATTTAACTGATCTCTCCTCTAATTTCTGTTCTTGACTTGTTTTTTTACCATTTGCTTCAGTTACCTTACTCTGTGGTCTCTTGTCACAGTTTCCAGTGGACTGATCTGAAACAAACTCACGTTTCAATGGTTCCAAGCCTTCAATACCTTGTTCTTGAGTTATGAACTGTTCAGAAATACTTTCACTGCTATTCTGAACAATCATATCTTCTTCACTGCTGTCTTGAATAGACATAGTATCAGAACTATTTTCCAAAGTGCTATTATATTCAGAGTCACATCCCAGTTTTCCTTCAAAGTCCATTGCTTTTGACAGAGATGGGATATCTCTATCATCGATACTTTTAGGTACTGATGGAAGTGAAGGGCTCTGGGAAGGAGAAACAATGGTGTCATTATCCTCCTGTATGAGTGGTTTTTTGTTCTTATAGATCAAAGTACCAATTTCATCTGTACTGGCTAGTTTGGAGTCATCAACGAGAAAATCACTTCCTTTGGTTTTAATCTTACTAGGTTCCTGGCCTTTACTGGTAGGTTCAGAGAGACTCTCATCTATGTCATTTCCAACAGAATTTTGTTTCTGACAGTTTGTCTCTGGACTCTGAATGGAGACGTCATCTAACATTTGATCTTTTGGATAAAGTTTGTTTGTTGTATGATCAGGATCACTGATTCCAAGAATTGAGGAATCGCTCTGTGAACATCCCCGAATCAAATCTTCAGATTTATCATTACTTGCATTAGGGCTTTGTTCTTGTTTAATAAGCAAGTCACTTTGACACCCTTCTTTTGCTTTAGTTATTACTGGAGACTCAGAAAGACTTTTCAGAGAACTTGTAGAGGTCTTTCCGATACCCTTAATTCCACCCTCCAACTTCATCTTTTCAAGGCGCTGTTTTTCTTCCAGTGTAAACTGTTTAATTCTCCTTTCAAGAAGTCCATCTAGTTTGGATGATTTAATTTTCTTTTTATAACTAGTCCTTAGATGAAAACCCTCACTGACATTGACCACATCTACTTGAGAACTTTCCTGACAATTTATATGTGGCTCTGTTTTCACATCATCATCTATTTCCATTGGTTCTTCCTTAAAGGATTTATCATTGTCAGAATCTAAAACTTCTTTTACATCTGTGAAATAAAGACATTTATGTAAGTGAAATTTTTTACTCTCAAATGTGGAACTCATAATATTTTTATTTTAAAAACTACCAATGGTTCTTATTTTCACTCAAGGGCTTAAACATAAATATATATTTGAAAGCTCCTGACATAGGATTAAGATAGGTCAATGGACAGGGCTAAACTTTACAAAATGTTAAAAAACACACACATATTGTAAATATTTAAATATTCTGATTCTTAGCATCTGAAAATAGAATGTTACAATGAAAAACTACTTAGCCTGTGACAGCTACTCCATACACCAGTACCTTCATGTCAGATTCTGTATAAAATATTTTGTAGTCATAAAATATCTTAAGGCTAGTATCTTACCCAGTTTTTAAAACATAGTTTTTCACAAAAGGCAATGTAAGTTCCTCAGAAGGTTGGACACAGAGTTAGCTTAATGACCCAGTAATTCCACTACTGGGTATTTACCCAACATGAATGTTCATATCAATATTCATAACAGCCAGGAAGTAGAAACAACCCAAATGGCCATCAACCGATGAGTGGATAAGCAAGATGTGGCACCATCCACAAAATGGAATACTACGCAGAAATAAAAAGGAATGACAAAATCCTGATACCTGCTACAACATGGATGACCCTTGAAAACATGACGCCAGGTCAAAGAAGCCAGTCACAATGGACCACATATTACATGATTCCATTTATTCGTCATGTCCAAAACAGGTAAATCCAGAGACAGAAAGTACATTAAGGCTGGTGAGGGGAGTTAGGGAGGACTGGAGACTGACTGCTAATGAGTATGAGGTTTCTTTTTGGGGTGACGAAAATGCTCTAAAATTCACTGTGATGATGGTTGAACAACTCAGTGAAATACTAAAAACCACTAAATTGTACCCTTTAAATGGGTAGATTATCTAGAATATGAATTATGCTTCAATAAAGCTGTGATCATCAGAGAAAGACAAGGCAGTACCTCTCCTGCTGTGCGAACTAGATCCCGTGCAACCTTAGCATCCCCAGGCCGCCCTCCACCCCGGACTCTCCTTACCTTGGTCCTTCTTCTCAGCAATCCTGGAAACATCCATTTCACTTTGGTCTGCTCCTTTTGTAGCATCTGAATCTTTTACCTCATCTTTCTCAGAATCAGGCTCTGTTTTTATTTTTTTTGGACTTCGTGGACTTTTTCTTCTATCTGATTCATCCATATTTTCATCCACATTATTTTTGGCTGAAAAAGAATGAAGTATATAATAATGACAGGTATTCTGAATATTAGCAATTTACTGTAATAAATCTAGTTTAGTGGAAATTATCAAGTATTTTCAGCAATTTATACTGCTTTTTTAAATTAAAAACACACACACACACACACACACAAACACTGAAGACAGTATATACTTCCCTAATATGCTTGGCTGACCTAAAGCATTAAAAGAAGACTGCATTTTAGATGTGCTTCAGAAAGAAGCTTTCACATAGGACGACTATTTCAACCTGTTCGATGACTTTACAGATTCTATATCAGTGTTTCTAACATATTTTGTGTTAAAGAATCATATTAGAAGGATAAATACTTAAGTATTTTTCACCGAGACTCCACGGACAAACTTCAAAGATATCCAAGATCCAATGAAATTACAAAAGTTTGTTTACATACTTCCCCTGGCCCCCACCTCCCCCAGGTAAGGAATCACAGCATTTATCACAGAATAAAAGAGACTTAAGGGAAATGACTAAATGCAATGTTTGGCCTTGTTTGGACCTGGTTTACTGCCAAGAGTAAAATGGCCTCTCTAACACAACTGGGGTACCTGGGGTAGGAACTGAGAATCTCAAGATGAATATGTTAAATAGTGTCAGTTTGCTGACTGGATAATAGCATGATGGTTATGAATGTCCACTCTAACTAGAGAGATATATTGTACTGGAAAATAACATGATTTCTGGAATTTGCTTTAAGTACAAGGGAAACAACTCTAGGAAAAAAGCAGGGAGTGACAAGTGAAAGAAGAGTGACAGAACTTGATAACTGTTAAAGTTGAATGATGATTACATGGGAGTTCATTATTCTCTTTTACTTTTGTGTAGCTTCAACTTTCCAGAAGGGAGAAAAAAAAAAAAAAATCAAGCCTACGATATAGAACTATTATCTAGATGAATTTTCTTAGGCCTTAGAGGCATTTCTACCTTTTCTTTTCACTTGAACCCGAATATCCCAAAGACTTAGCACGGTGAACCTATTTTTTATTTAAATAAAAATGACTCCTTCCAAAAAGATCTGCCTGAAAGGGGAAAGAGTGCAAAAAACAAAGCCAGTATCTGTCAAGACAGCAGGATATTGGTGAGAGAAGAAAAGAACCATAGAAAACGGTGACAGGATGTGTCTAGACCCCACAGGTAACGAAAGGACAAAAAACTAAACTGATACTCTCTTTCTTCAATGCTTCTGTAGTTATTTCAGAATAACTGGGCAATACTTTTTCAATGATTTCAAGTTGCTCACAAAGAGCTTTATATGTCAGTAGTACCCCATTTATAAGCTTTAAGATCCTGGACACTTAAATGGACGATTTATAAAACGTTTGGGATTTCCTCTCCATGAAAGGTCTCCTTGATAGACTATTAACAAAGGAAGCCCAGGTGGCTCAGTCCGTTAAGTGTCTGACGCTTGGTATTGACTCAGGTCGTGATCTCCCGGTTGTGGGATGGAGCCCCATGCTGACAGCGTGGAGCCTGCCCGGGAGTCTCTCTCTGCCCCTCCCCCACTTGCACACACGTGCTCTCTCAAAAATAAACAAATATAAAAATATAAAAATAAATTAAAAAAAACAATTAATTCATATCCGTTATTAACCCTTGCACATTAATACCTGTATTGACACTTATAAATTAATGTGCAAATCAAAGGTATACAGTCTGAGTTAGAATGGAAGTTAGAGATAAGGGACACAGCAGTCAAGCAAGTCAAACACTCTACAGTCTTCTGATGCTGTCAAGTGTTCCCTGAACTGTGTTTCTCTCTGTTCTTTCTAACACATCTGTGCCTCTATCATATGATCAGACTAGATTAGCCATTATGATAGGGACTAATAGTTCTGAGATTATAAATTGGTGGTTACTAATGCCTTCGCCGTAATTCCTATTCTGTAGTTAAGCTAAACCAACAATGTGCTACCACCTGAGAGGAAAGGCTCCGAAGATGCTAGAAGACCAACCTGGTACCTGAATGGATAAAGGCCCGCCATTTGCACAATAGAAACCATATGCTAAGGAAACTGGATTCAAGATAAATCTGCAAAAGCCTAAATATTTTGCTTATTGATAATCTGGATTTCACTACACAGACAGACCAGGTCAGACATAAGTAAACACAGAGCTCTCTATAATTCTAAGTGCTACATGGGCGGCTGGAGCAACAAAATGGCAATAAAAAAATTGTAACCATCTTTCAGAATTTATCAAAATGTACATTTTGCTTGGATATGATCAGATCATAATAGAATTTAATATTTGCCAAGTACCTACTATCACCTAGGCTTTTTAGGAAAGAACACATTGCACCAAAGACTAGCAAATTACACTGCATAGCAAGCAGAACTACTTCTGAAAATTGCTCAGATTACAAAGGAGATCTTGCAATGTAGTGTGCAAAAAGGACAACGGAAGCCAGGAGACACGGATTCCAGTCAGGATTCTATCCCTGTGTGAACTGTACGTCACTTAGTATCTCCGTGAAATAATCTGCTCGTGTGCTGTGAGTTTCAAAACATATAGTCTCTTGGGGCGCCTGGGTGGCTCCTTCGGTTGAGCGTCTGACTTCAGGTGATGATCTCATGGTTTATGAGTTTGAGCCCTGCATTGGGCTCTCTGCTGTCAGTGTGGAGCCTGCTTTGGATCCTCTGTCCCCCCGTCTCTCTCTGCCCTTCCTCCACTCGTGATCTCTCTCTCAAAAATACATAAAACATTAAAAAAATTATATATCTATAAGCATAGATATATATAATCTATATATATCTATAAGCATAGATATATATAATCTATATATATATCTATAAACATAGATATGTATAGTCTATAGATATAGATACATATAGTCTCTTAGTAGGGTAGTTCCCCTCTAGAGTTCTGTGATTCTAAATACTAATAAAATTGTTAGCGAGTAGCACAAATTGAGTTAATACCTCGTTTATGTGGAAGTGTTACTGAATTCTCCACTACTTGCTATTTGGTTTTGTTATGTGCCACAATGCTGAGGTTACCAGATATGTAGCTCCTTAGGAAGTCAAGTAATACTGAATTTAAGATTTCAGAAAAACAACTAGGTGGCTGAGACCTTTTTTCTTTTTTTTTTTTAACAAGTCCTATTCTAGCCTCTTTCTTTAACTGAAACCCTAAGTATCACAATCCTGAGAATAAAGGTTTAAATATTTTATAAAGGTTTAAAATATTTTAGAATTTATACCAACTACACTGGTAGTTTTGCCATGTTCTGTTAAAAATTTCAGAGAAAACTTTCATCTAAAATACGGTCAGTAAACCTCATTTTGTAAGAAACAGTACAAATCAGAAACATTAATACAGGAAAAATAACTTCAATTACTTACTTCCTTCTAATGACTTTCTGTAATTCACATTAGTATTGCCTGGCAATTTAGGAACAAACCTATAAACATGAGTTTTACTAATCCAGCTCCAACCACCATATCCCGTAACTCTGTATTCCTCTCCTTTTTGTTTCCAAACCTGGTGTGAATGAAAACACTCTGATTAAACAAGAATGAGGATGCTTACAAAACATATGTGGTTTTATACATTTTTACCAAACAAGATCCACAGTCAGGCAAATAAGTTTACCAATCAATTTTATTTTCAACAGGAATCACACATTCATGAAAAAACTGAAGACAGCTGAACCCTGAACAACATGGGGGTTTGCTGACCCCCCACGCAGTCAAAAATCCACGTATAACTTGCAATTCCCTCAAAACTAACTACCAGCAACCTACCGTTGACCTAAGCCTTACCAATAACATAGTCAGTTAACACATGTTTTGTATGTTACGTGTACTATATACTACATTCTTTACAACAGAGTAAGCTAGAGAGAAGAAAATGTTATTAAGAAAATCACAAGGAACAAAAAATACATTTACAGGTACTATACTGTATTTATCGAGGCAACCTGTTTGTAAGTGAACCCATGCAATTCAAACCTGCGTTGTGCCAGGGCTGACGAGACCCCTTTCTAATATGAAAAATGTAACACAAGTTTTACAGTTTTAGAACAATTTCAACCAATTAGTCTAATAGCCCACCTACATTCTACCGAGACAAACCTCTGCTTATAGAAATCGCCAGAAAGACTTACTTCATTCCAACTATATTAAATAAAAGACTGTGCCAAAAGCAAAACAAAATTTAAGTACCTAAAGTTGCAGAATACAAGCCTCAGAAATGGCTAACACCATTTTAAAAGACTATAATAAAAATTACCTGATGTTTAACTGGAAATGTATATTTTACCCACGTGGCTTGTTGCATCGTTTCTTCCTCTTCTTGCTTTTTCTCTTTTTTCTTGACTTTCTCCTTTTCTTCTCTTTCAATTGATGTCATTCTGTGTAACCTAAGAATATATGAATAGAAAGAACTGCATTTAACTTTGAAACATACATTAAAAAGATAAAAATACAGTACTGCAAGTCAGGAAGTTAGAATCAAAGAATGGTTAGCTATAATCCCACAACCCAGATAACCCCAGTTCACAAAAATCAGTAACAATTCCGTAACACGAAAAATGAAAACAGCAGAAAAAGGCAAAACCATGCCATCCTTCCCATATGCCCTCCAATAAGAAATACACTCACTTATGGCTTATTCCTGAAACTACTAATACATATATATATACACCAATATATTTACACAAAAGGGATATATTACAATCACAACTACACAGTTTTTAATCAATGAATAATTGCATTAGAAGATCTTTCCATATACCAGAAGATATGGATATTCTTAAAGAATTACATAATATACACCACTGCGTGGACACACTATAATTAAACCAGTTCCCTATTAAAGAATACATTATTTCCTTCCCTCAAAAAAGACCAAAAAATCCAAAAACCTACCAACTAGTATTTCTAATTCTATCTAGCACTGGGGGGTTTAAAGCCTTTACACTAATGTAGAATTCAGGCTTTCTACATCCACAGAGAAAAGGGCTGACAAGGTTCCTGCTTTTGGGTAAGAGGAAGGAAGGACCACATTGATGAGGCCACCAGTCACTGAATAGGGCATAGGCCACACTCTTTTTCCAGGGTGGGAAACGTGTACCACCCAGGAAATATCACTGCACCCAGTAATAAGGAGACAGGCAGGCCTGTGGTGAGGCTCTACATTAAGATGATTAGACTGGAGGGATGCCTGGGTGGCTCAGTCAGTTGAACGTCTGACTCATAGTTTTGGCTCAGGTCATGATCTTGTGGTTTCGTGGGTTCGAGCCCTGCACTGGGGTCTGTGCTCGTAGCATGGAGCCTGCTTGGGGATGCTCTATCTGCCCCTCCCCCACTCACGTGGTGTCTCTCTCTCTCTCTCTCTCTCTCTCTCTCTCTCTCTCTCTCTCCCTCAAAATAAATAAAACTAGACTGCATTTTTGTGAATGGGAATATTCCCCATAAACAAGGACACTGACCAAAACCTATGAAGAGAGGACCCTGTCTCTGAGACCTCTAGTGGTAGAAAACCTGCTTTATTACACCCTACCCAGATGTAGCCAATCTTGCATGCACAACTTTGTGGAAAAAAATAGAGATCTTTTGTTAACCTGGGGGACAAGCTGCTAATAAGATATGAGAGGGGAATTTAATCCTTTTGATCTCCATCACCCCACCAAAACTCCCTACTGAGCTCCACTTTCAAGAAAGCTTTGTGCCCCTGTGAACATAGGACCCTAGAATCTAGGCTACTGCATACCGAGAGCTCATGCCTATCAGCCGCACAACCCTAGAACAGCATTCTTCATTCTCTCCCAGTTGACGGAAGGAGAGGAAAGGGAGGAGGTTCTCCCCGGAGACTAACTTACTCAAATATGTGCCACTACTCGTGGAACCAGGGAGCGGGGCAAGCTCTGTAGGCGCAGCACGGTGGATAACCTGGCAGCCTCAGCCTGCCAGAGGAAGGAGTGACTGACCCAGGCTCAGGTAGCGTTTCTCAACAGAGTTTTTGTGGGCTAAGCGTTCAAACTCTGCAAGCTGAGGTCTGACATGGCAACTGAACTATCTTCGCTGACAGTGGCCAGGAACAGAGTACTGTGGGGGGAGGATATGGGAGCAGTGACACTCTGAGAGCTCATAGCTGGGCTGGGTGCTCAGCCTGTGCTTTTGTGTTCACATGGGAAACAGGTCCATTTTCATAACCAAATATAAAGGCTCCATTTTGCTGAGGACGCCAGGCCACTGAGGTAGTGTTATAGCTAATCTGTGATGTTAGCTACCCCTGAGTAAATTCTATTGCTCTCACTGCCACCAAGCCAATCTTTAGGTTTCGGCAGCAAAAACGGTGAGCTCTGAAGGAATTCAAGTCCACTTGGTTGGGCAGAAACCTGGGCTACCGCTGGCAGCCCAGAGGCCCCAGAAAGGAAGAAGCCCCATCGGGCTGGCAGCGCGTAGCCTCTAGCTGCCAGTCCATACGGGGAGGCACACGGGGTGGCAGGCGTCTCTTCTGTACCTCCATGGTTCAACTGAGAGCCTGACCGAGAGTACAGACCAAGCTTCAATCCCACTCCTAATCTCCACGTGGTGCCCTGGGTCGTGTCGTGCCTGCTTTGCTACTACAAACAAAGCCATAATGAACAATGTTTTATGTCTTTCCTGGTAAACTTGGAGAGTGCTCGCGGTGTTCCCCAGTGTTCCCCAGCGGTGGGGTAGCTAACTCCAAAGGTCCTTGAACTTAAAATGCTGACAAGTAAAGCTACATCGTTCTTCAGAATTGCACATTTCACGCTGCCATCAATGACAAAGCCACCGTGTTTTCCCATACCTTCACTCAAGTTAGTAACAAACTTCTAGATGATCAGCCCAAGTGAGAGATGAGAAATGATATCCCACTGTTTTGATTTACATTTCTTTAATTGCAAGAGAGTAAACATTTTGTTAATGTCTACTGGCCTTTCGTATTTATTTTTCTGCAAAATGCCTGTTCAAATCCTTTGTCTTGTCTGTACTGGACTATTAGTCCTTCTCACTTATAAAAGATCTTTGTCACTTAAGGTAACTTTCCATTTGTGCTGCAAATATTTTTCCTCAGTTTGTCATCTTTTGAGTTTGATTATAATATTATTTTTCCACTCAGAATTTTAAATACATATATCCACTTTTTTTCCTCTATGGCATCTGGGTTTTATATCTGTTTAAAAAGAAAGTATCACAACAAAAACATAAATTAATCCACGGTTTCTTATTGAAGCTTTTTGGTTATTGTTTTTTAAAAAAGTCTCCGTTTATCTGAATGTTTTTGCCAAGGCAGGGAGCTAGGCTGAAATTTTCTAGGTCCTGCTTCCTTCTCTGACATGCAGTGCTATCATTGCTAGATGCTCACATGTGTTTAGGTCTATTTCTAGATTTCTTTGTTCTACTCTACTGCCCTAAAATCTTATTTTTATTGTAGCTTCAAAAATGTTCGAATATTGGGGCACCTGAGTGGCTCAATCGGTTAAGCGTCCGACTCTGGATTTTGGCTCAGGTCCTGAGATCAAGCTCTGAGTTGAGCTTCACACAGTGCATGGAGCCTTCTCGGAATTCTTTCTCTCTCCCTCCCCCTGCCTCTCTGCCCCTCCCCAACATGTGCTCCCCTTCTCTCTCTCAAAATAATGAACATTGAAAACAAGTGTTCCAATATCTATTCCTTTCTTCCTCATACCTACTTCCCTTTTCTTGCAATTAATTTTCCTAGATGATGTATTAGTATCATTTTGATCAAGCCTGTGTGCCCCTCAAGGAGGGAAAATCTTATTCAAAATGCAAATGAATATTAATTTTAGAAGATTAATATAATTAACATAATACATGGTTTCAGAAAATGTAATATACACATCTAAACATAGGATATATCTTTATCTTTCATTTACTGAGTATCCTTTCTCTTTTTTTTTTTTTTAATGTTTTTTATTTATTTTTGAGACAGAGAGAGACAGAGCATGAGCAGGGGAGGGGAAGAGAGAGAGGGAGACACAGAATCCGAAGCAGGCTCCAGGCTCCGAGCTGTCAGCGCAGAGCCCGATGCGGGGCTCGAACTCACGGACTGTGAGATCATGACCTGAGCTGAAGTCGGACGCTTAACCGACTGAGCCACCCAGGCGCCCCTCCTTCCTATCTTTAATAAAGTTTTAATGATTCCTTTACATGATCCTAAATATTTCTTGTTAAATTGATTCCAGTTGTTTGAGTTTGTTTTTTTTTTAATTTTCTTTTATGTTTATTTATTTTTGAGAGACAGAGACAGAGCGCAAGCGAGGGAGGGGCAGAGAGAGAGGGAGACACAGAATCCAAAGCAGGCTCCAGGCTCTGGGCTGTCAGCACAGAGCCCGACACAGGGCTTGAACCCACAAGCCGCGAGATCATGACCTGAGCCGAAGTCAGATGCTTAACTGCCTGAGCCACCCAGGCACCCTGAGAGTTTTGTTGTTATGGGGATCTTTTCATTACAATTAAAAAATATATACAAAATGTAACCAGATTAAGAAAGAGAACTTTATCAATAAACCAAATACATCTGAAGCTAGTGTGTCCCACTCCCAGGCAGTCATTATCTTGACTTTAGGGTTATTATCCCCTTTTCTTTATAGTTTTACCACCCATGTGTATACCCCAAACAGTAGCAAGTTTGGCTTTTGAAAACTCAGTAGCAAGAATAAAACTAGCTGCATGAGCGTAAGAGCAATGCTGTTACTATTAAAAGAAGGTTCCCAGGAAAAAATAAACCTGTCTCTGTGTCACAGCTTCCAAGAGCCTCTTCTGGTGAAATCCGAGGGTGAGGGCATGAGCAAGGTCTGGAAGACACTGGGCTCACCACACTCTGGGTCATCTGGTAGGGCTGTAAGCAGGTACGGATCCAAAGTGGACTGCTATGGACTTCCTGCTTCTGTGCCATTTGATTATTCTGTGGTATAAAACTTGGGAAAATTCTCAGCTCTCCCCGTTGACTTAGGATACGGTCCTCTTTGGTAGGTTATCATTTGTCTACCTGGATTACTGCTTCCATGGCTTTATTGGTGCTTTATTCTCTATTGTTCCTCTTTTCTCCATGGGTTTAAGCTTTAAAAAAAAAAACCCTTTGCCATAGTTTTCATGGAGGTAAGCAGGGAGCAAAATTAAATGTGTTCATACAATGTTATTTTCACTCAGAACTCCTACAGTATTTTCTACATAGTTACTGTCACATAAAATGTATTGTTCAATATGGCAGCCATCTTATTTAGTTTTCAGATTGTTTCTGATAGTTTTTCAATTTTCTTGGGGTTTCTAAGTGTCTACTTAGGTCAACTGCATATAATTATGCCTTCATCTGCCAACATGTACATACATACACATATACACACACATGTATATGTATATGTATGTTTTA